ACCATATCTATCAAGGAGGCTATCAGCTCAAGAGCCCTCCCCGTGTACTCTATCGATGCCTGCAAATGCATTTAGATGATCAGTGTTTGCAATAAACATATCTGAAATGAAATGCAGGTTGCAAAGCGCGAAATGTGGTCCATACCTGAGTCGGGCCTTGAACTCCGACTAACTTGTACCCAGTTGCGGCAGGCTCAATCACGACCTGGTAGGCATCCCCAGTATGTTGCCAGCATGTCAGTGTAGTAGGAAGCTTTGGCCAACCAGTCCTCTGCCTCGCCCGGGAAGCACGGGCCCTAGTCGCCCTAGTCAGTCTAGGCGCCTCCTCGCCTCCATGAGCATCGGTCAGAGGTGGCATAAGATGTGTCTGAATGAAGGCCGCATAGTCGCCCTCTACTCTAAAGCAGTCAGCATCCAAGCCCCACATAAACTGAGTGATATCATCAACGGATAGGCTGTCTGGTGATCTCATGGACTCTGGCGGAACCATCGGAATGATCGGGTCAGCTAGGCCCACAGTCTGGCACACGAACCGCTCGCTCAAAAACCAGGCCCGACAGACGGGGCCCTCAAGCAAAATACGAAAACGGAAAGTGGCCCAGGCCCCTACATATTGGCCCCGAATCCCGACTGGCATCATGGCCCAAGGTTGCCACATGATCTGTAAACGGAGAGTGAATAGATTGTTAGTTACTATTAGTTGTTAAAATGTGAATCAGAACAGTTGTAAAGCAAAAATGACTGTGTTTCGGGTTACTTCATGAGCAGCCACTGTGTCAAAGTACTGGCGAAAGAACGTGAAGGTATCGCGGGTCCTGCGCTCAAGCCGGCCGTCATACCTCCTTGAGTAAGGGACTGCTAATGGGAGCTCCTCTATAGGCTCTGGGGCCAGAGTCGGAAAATAAGCATAAACCCACAACTGTGGAGAAAATACAGTGATATGTGATCAACAATGTATGAATAGATACAGAAAGTGTAAAGCAGAAAGCACAATGTATGAACAGATGCTGAAAGTACAAAGTAGAAAGCACAGATGTAAAGTAGAAAATGTAAGGTGCAAAGAGAGAACTAAGATGCATACCTTCCAGGCTCGTCAATAGCCGCCGATGAAGTCTTCGCTCAGACGGGAGGTCGAGCTCATGTATCCATATAGGGTGGCAAGACCGGCTCCGCCCCAATTATAAAAGCGCACTCGGGGAAGGGTCACTAGAGTGCTGAGCAGATATAGGCCTACGGTGTTCCACTTGTTCGAAAACAGGGTAGTACTGAAAACGAACATCAGAAAGCCTCTAGCATACTGCTCCATCTCCTCCATAGTCTCGGGCTCGCTCCCTTTGAACTGCTCCGCGAACCAGGTATATCTAACCATGCCCGTCTAGTATATGGGTGGATAGATACAGAAAGTGTAAAGCAGAAAGCACAATGTATGAACAGATGCTGAAAGTACAAAGTAGAAAGCACAGATGTAAAGTAGAAAATGTAAGGTGCAAAGAGAGAACTAAGATGCATACCTTCTAGGCTCGCCAATAGCCGCTGATGAAGTCTTCGCTCAGACGGGAGGTCGAGCTCATGTATCCATATAGGGTGGCAAGACCGGCTCTGCCCCAATTATAAAAGTGCACCCGGGGAAGGGTCACCAGAGCGCTGAGCAGATATAGGCCTACGGTGTTCCACCTGTTTGAAAACAGGGTGGTACCGAAAACGAACATCAGAAAGCCTCTAGCATACTGCTCCATCTCCTCCATAGTCTCGGGCTCACTCCCTTTGAACTGCTTCGCGAACCAGGTATATCTAACCATGCCCGTCTAGTATATGGGTGGATGCGCTCCTAGCAGCTCAAACCAAGCCGCCTCCCATTCACCCATGTCTGTATCAAACGGGATCGGATCACCCCCTATGTCTAAGCCGGTGATCATGGTGAAGTCATAGGGAGTCATCGTCATCTCCCCTGCAGTGGAAAAGTGGAAGGAGTTGGTGGTGTCCCACCACCTCTCCACAAGTGCACCCAGAAGAGGACGACTCGTGATAACCCGCGTCAAGCCGGAGCAGAATAGCCCAAAGCCTGTCTTATCAATGATGTCACGAACTCCAGTGGGGAGCTCGTCGTACCAATCTCGTGCGGTCGTAGCTCTGTACCCTCGGAAGGCAAGAGACTCGCCCTGTGGCCAAAGACAGATGCATCATATAATGCAGTAATAAAAGTGCGGTCTGAAAATACAGTGCAAGAAATGCAAGATAGGCAGGAATGTATGAAAACAGAGCTCATACCTCAACGGCAGTGGATGAAAGGTGGAAGGTCGGCTCCCTCAGTAATAGGTCCTCTGGTACACCGCGAGCGAAGTCGGTGAAGCGTCTAATGCCACCAGCTGGTAGGATGTGTGTCTGGGGATGGTACCTCTTCGAATCAAATGGCCGTGCCCTCAATGGGAGCGGCTCTGCCACAACCTCAGGCTCAAACTCTACCTCGAGGTCAGCCTCAATACCTTCAGCTTCCTCTGCAACGACCAGCTCATCCTCCTCGGGAATAGATGAGAATACGGGAGGAACCTCTACAGGAGCCTCGTCGCGTGGTATACCATTTGCCATCTGAAGAATAGTAAAAGGTGGCCCAGATCCTCAGTTTGGTGAAATATTTTTCAAATTCTCAATTTGATAAAGGTTTGATGAAACTATATTAGAGTACAAAAAAAGAGATTTTTTCACTAAATTTAAATTTGGTGATGGATTTGGTGTAGCATTGGAGATGACCTTATATGACAAAAAATGTAAAAGATGGGATCCAGTTATGCGTATTAGTTGTTTGTTAATTTAAAGATTGAGTGTGTGTTTTAATAGTATAATTAAAGTGTTTGTTAAATATATAAAATAATATATTGGGGTTTGACTAAAAATATGCAATTTCATTTATTCTCTAATCTCTTTTTTTTTTTACATCACTACAAATTCAGACTTATGAATTCAGAATTTACTTAGAAAAAGAAATCAATAGTTCAAATTCATTTCACGATTCCACACTTCATTAATTTAATTTTCACCGCACAAATACATTCAAAAAACAATTATGAGTTAATAAACGTGCCTTCATAACATTTTTATTTTATTTATCTTATTTTTACCATTTGCAAAGAGGTTGCAGTGGTTGTATCGTTCCAACCCCTGTTATATGTCTCTCTCTTTCTCTCCCTCTCCACTTTGTTAAGGTGATCTGGGTAGTTAACAAACGTTGTAGCTAAAAGCTAAGAGCATTTCCAATGGTTGTTGTTATTATACTATTACTATTGTTATAATTTGACAATGAATAGTGTTATTTTGCCAAATTATAGCAATGGTGCTCCAATAGTCACTTGCTATTTTGGCAATTCTCAACCAACTTTCCTTCCAAGCTTGTAAGTGTTGTATGGATGTAGGTTTTTTTGTAATTTTATTTTTGTTTATTTTTTATCTTTTATGACCTTTTTTTAACTATTTGTAAAAAAAAATTATAGATTTATATTATTCCCGATTAGACATATATAAAAAATGAAAAAAAAATAGAAAAAAAATTAGATATAATTCAATTTGAAAAATTACTTGGTTTTCTACTGTTTCAATTCTATTTTTTCAACTGAATTTGAAGCCACAAATATGTTCATATTTGCTGATGTGGCATATTTGACAATTGCTATTTTACTTGTCAAATATGATAATAGATATGGCATATGCCATCTTTGACGCAGCAGAGCAAGGCATCAGAATCAATACTACAGTAGAAGCAGCAAGGCTCATAATGGCACTGCAAGATTTGGATCCCCTGCTTCGATAGGTTTCAAAGAATCACCCTCGCCACCCTCCAATATTTATTGTCTCTCCCCCCGGTAACCGAGAGAGAGACAGACATATATACAAATCTCCCTTGGTGGAGGACCATATATGATTGTTAATTTATTATGTCACAAAACAATTGATCCCATAAATTAGAGATAGCTTGTTCTGAGATAACGTGCTTTTCCATTATTTGTAACTTCTTTGATTATGAATGACTATTGATTATTTAATGAGGTTATGTTGTGTTGATTCTTATTATTTGATTCTTCTTTTTGAATTCTGGGTTGCAGGGATGTCCAAAGGGTGTCACACCTAAGTACAGCTTGAAACCTCTTGTGCCAAGGCTATCTGATATAAAGCCTGATATTGATGTTGAGAAAATGCTTTTTTAGAGATTCTCTTTGAAGAAACTATTGTTATTCTTCATTTGAACTGTTACCAAGGTTTTAAAAACCGGACCGGTGAACGAACCAGAAAAATAATCGGGTGAACGGGTCACCGGTTCAACCGGTGGGTTGAACCGGATCGAACCGTGACGTCATAATGATTTCATAAATATTTTTTTAAAAAATATAAATTAATAATTTAAATATTAAATTTTCGATTTTTTTAAAAAAAATTCTTAAATATTTTTAGTGATATTTTTCTATACTTAAAAAAAAAAAATTCAATCATAGCCAATCTATATAAAGAGTCAAACTATTATGTATCTACATATAATTTTCAACTGTAAATTATTTTTTATTAACATAGTGTTTGATTAAATGAAAGAATTTTAGATACTAAATGAAATGACTATTTTTCATTGTATCTATCTACACCAACAATTAATTTAGTGCATATAACCAGGGGTTGGAGGAGTTAAATTAATTATTTGGTTTTGGTAGAGAGTTGATTAATCACAACAATGTGCATCGTTTGCCTGAAAGTTGATTAATAATAATTATTTGGTTTTGCCCGAAAGCTTAACATCACAGATTCACAATGTGCATAATTCCTAAACAGAGCCTTCTTCAAGTGTTTTATTATTATTATTATTATTATTTTTTTTATCAAAAGTTGGTTTTGATTTCTAAACAGAGCCTTTTTCAAGTGTTTTATTATTATTATTTGGTTTTGATTTCTAAACAGAGCCTTCTTCTTCTCCTCTCCAAAAAAAAGAAGAAGAGCATTCTTCAAGTGTAGACCCAAGTGTTTTATTATTATTATTTTTTTTTTATCAAAAGTTGATTTCTAAACAGAGCCTTCTTCTTCTCCTCTCTAAAAAAAAAAAAACAGAGCCTTCTTCAAGTGTAGATAGATCGGAGATTCAAGTGTTGATTTTGATTCAAGTGTAGACCCAAAATTTCTAAAAAATAAAGAAAAAGATCAAAGATCCATCAAAATAATACTTGGGGAGGCTGGAAATTGATTCGTTAATGGCGGAAAAAAATAGAGAAATTGATGTCGTCCTGGAGGCTTGTAACGGTGCGAATCTGTGTGTAAGTTGAGAAGTTGATTCGTTAATGGCGGAAAAAAATAGAGATAGATCGGCTGCTCTTAAAAGAGGAAGAGATACCTGTGCTGTGTGAAGAAGTGAAGAAGCCCTAGCCGCTGCTCTCTGAATCTAAAGATCAACAAACAAAAATAAAGCTAGATCTGAAAAAAAAAAATTATATATATACAAGCAAACCGTCCCGGTTCGATCAACCCGTAAACGAGTCAACCGGTTCACCGGTTTAACCGTGGGTTTCACCGGTTTTCAATAAATACCCCGGTTTTTACACTTGGCCGGTTTAAGAGGGTCAACCGGACCGGAACCTGGTCCGGTCACCGGTTCAAACCGGTTGAACCGGCCGGTCCGGTCTGGGTTTCAAAACCTTGACTGTTACTACTTTGATTTGAATTTGGAAACTTTTAGTTTTAATTTTTGTAAAATTTTACTTTCTACATACTCATTATGGTTTGGGAATAGAGTGCCTTTGATGTGTGAATGTCAATTTTTTTTAATATGATTGGATGACATTTAATTGTGTGCATTTTTAGCTATGAGATTAAATAATTACAAAATTCTCAACTTCAATTTTTAGCGACGAAAATGTGTTGTAGAGAAAGTTATATGTTTTTTAGCGACCAAATATCATTGTCATTAAAAATGTCATTATTTTGTTTTTTGCGACCAAATTGGGACATTTTATGACGAAGTATTAGCCACCAAATGTTTAGTCTTGTAAAATCAAACATTTTGTGACATTATAAAATTGGTCGCTAATTGTTATTTTTAGTGACATTTTCAAAAATTCATCGCTAAAGACTTTTCTGGATGCACTTTTAGTGACTTTTTTAGTGACGAAATTAATTTTGTCACAAAAGCCATTTAGAGACCAAAATAATAGTTTTAGAGACCAAAATAATTGGTCGCCAAAAGTCTTATATGTTGTAGTGTAGGCCCACATTAATAATTTAGATCGTACATCTTGTAATCTCAACAATTTAGATGAGTTATGCAAAAAATTAATTTCATCGAACATTATTAGAGATATGAATAAATTGTATCTTTTTTATTAAATGGACAGTAATTGTGAGTTTAAACTTACATATTTCATTTTATAAAACAAAGATGATTTGTTTATGTATTTATCAATATCCAATGAAGTTATTTTTTGCATAGACGGTCTTTATCGTGAGATTTACGAGATAAACAATTTAAATTATCATTGTGGACATGTCAAACTTCTTATCCACCACGTACTTCACAATATGGTTAAACAAATAAACACACAAAAAATGACAATCAGAATGGCAAATTATTTTCCCAAATTCACAATCAGAATGACAATCAGAACGGCAACTTGTTCACCTGTGCAAGAGGCCTTCTGACCATCATGGATATTTCATAACCATAGTTATATTTAAAAAGAAATATAGAAACATGTCCTTTATATAACCTATTTCTCTTAATAGTAGGTAACCACCTCCCTGACCTCTTTTTCTCAAATACAAAATAAGGCTTCTAATTTCTGTTGATTTTAGAGTTGATTTTGTGCTAAAAGTATGTGTTTTGAAATCTGTACTCTCGTGCTCTGTTTGTTGAGTAATTTGGTTTCCTTGAGCTATTTAGTTATTTATTTATTATTAATGGTGCAATTTTTTATGCTAAATAACTTAACCACAACAGCCCAGCTAGAAATCAAAATAACAATCTTTCTGAACAATGAAAACCATTATTTCATACAAAAGTCAAAAACACAATGCTTTCAAGAGGCCCAGCTGGAAATCAAATAAATAAAATCATATAAAACAAGATAGAATTTTTTTTTAGGTGAGGGGCCACTTTCTATAAAAGCCATCCCTTTAGCTTCCTTGTTTTTTCCCCTTCCAAATCATGGTCTTGGTTTCTATTAGAATCTTTAATTCAACAATTTCTTTCTTGCTGTTGCCTTTTTCTTTCTTATTGTCTTATTACCTATAAAAAATTCACATGGCCCTCTTTGAAACAACCAATGCCTAAAGGAGATGGTTTCTTAAAACAACCTTGTTCATCATCAACTATTCCATAATCTGATTTTCTCAGATTACCGTTAGCAGCACAATATAAAAAATAAAGAAATCAAAACATACATTCATGTTGTATACTGTATTGAAATCAGAAAGCTTAGCAGAACGAAAATTATAATTGATTCTTTGCAAATTATACCTGAATCAGAAGAAGAATGAAAGAGAGAAGGGGAAAACCTTGGCCTAAATCCACTGCTCTCAGAGAATCTCTCAATAAAACACAATCTAAAGGAATTCAATTGCAATCCACAGCAACAACTATACATATATCAATGAAATTAATTAAAGGTCCAGAATTCCAAATGATATTGAAGAAATCGTGAAATAAAATAGTGAAAAATAAAAATCACGTACCTTTGTAGAAATCGTGAAGAACAGAATTCCAAATGATATTGAAGGCATCGATCATAAGAAGAAATCGCAAAGAACATAAATTGAAGAATAGAAATCGCAAAGGCCAGATGAATGTATTGATCTAAACCCTAGCAAAAATATATACACAGAGAGACGATAGAGATCGAGAGAGAGAGAGAGAGAGAGAGAGGAATTGAGAGATCGAGAGATATTGGGAGATCGAGAGAGAAAGAGTGATTCATACCTGTGTTTGGGTGAGAGAGAGAAAGAGAGCGATGTTGAGACTTTGAGCAAGGCTGACTAGAATATAAATAAAAGAAAATAAGTGAAATGAAGCACATACATAAACTACATTTAGAAAATATATTTTTTGCTACGGTAAAATAGACGGTCGCAAAAAAATAGACGCAAAAAATTAATTTTCTAGTAGTGACATAAAATGAAATCCAAAAAATAAAATATAGAAAAATATGAATGATAAAATTGTAGAGAGAAGATATAAATCTCACATTCTCTACCAATCAGAACACACCAAGGCATCATGTCACCGTGTCCTAAAATTGCAAAATAACTTCTCCAAAGAATGAGCGACCATTTCACATGTGAGTCCAAATGAAACTCGAAAAATGGCCTATTTTGGAAGCAACGATAGAAGCTGCTATCAAGTTGTTTTGAGCAAAAAAATCATTTGAAAGTTGAAAATTAGTCAACTTTTAAAATTATCAAGATATTCTTTTGTGATGTAATATTAAAATAGTCTTATGTGATAATAAAACTATAATTTCACAGATTGTATGTGATGATATGATGAATTTATCTATTTGCCTACGGTTGTGATACGGTATCGGGTACGGCCAAAGGGGGTCTGGTACATCTGGTACATTTGGGTACGGCATGGGTACGGAGGGGTATGCCATGGGTACGTTCCAGGGCAAAAAATACTCAAAAACATGTATACATACATAGAGAGAGAGAGATAACCTCGTGCTTTAAACATACCATAAACACATCTATAGAGGGAATCGAGAGAGAGACAGAGGAGATGGAAGAGATCGAACCTGATAGTGTAGAGAGGCGTCGCCTTTGTGTGCTAGGGCAATGAAGGATTCTAGGGTTTTCTCTTCGATCGATTGATCAATCGTCTCTCTCTTTGACCGATCTTCTGCTCACTGTTGATCGATCATCTTCGTCTCTCTTCTTTCTCTCTCTCTCCGTCTCTCGATCGCCTCTGTTCTCTTGTACTCTCTCTTTGTCTCTCGATCGCCTTTGCTCTCTCGCCTCTGCTCCTCTTCGTCTTTGACTTTTCCCTCAAAACAAATATATAGTATAATATATAATATATATAATATAAGATATTATATTAGATATATAATATAATTGGTCATACATATAATATATAATATAATTGATCATATATAATATATATAATAAATTTTATAAATTATAATTTTTATCATATATAATAAAAAATATATATATTTATTGGTGTACCGCAGCCGTACTCGTATCATACTTTTTTGAATTTTGACGTATCGACGTACCGGCACTCGTACCCGTACCGTACTCGTACCCGTACCTGTGCTTCATAGGTGATACCAAGAATAAATAATATTAGAGAAAACAAAAAAATATCTAAAGTTTTGTTTGGCATCTTGATTTTGAGTTAAAATAGTTACAAAAAAATAAAATAGACAAAAAAATTAATAAGACAAAATATCACATCTAAATTAAAATCATTTCATTTTTTTTCTTATAAAAGTTAAAAAAAATCAAAAAAATCTATCTAAATGAACTCTTTAACCTAAACTAAAATAATTAAAAAATTAAAAATCCAAAAATCAACCCACGTCTCACACAAAGCTAAATAATTTTATGAATAAATAAAAAAAACAAGAATATAAACAAAAAAGCAGATTATATTCAAGCAGATTATATAAACGAAAAAGCAGATTATATTCAAGTTCGCAAAATGGGCTTACCGTTACTTTTACGTTCGAATCAAATCAAAGTCAGAAATCTCAATCGGAGACCCAAATAATTAAAATTCTCTCCAAAATTGTCTCCAACTATCTCTCTATAGATCGTCTGTGAGAGTAAGATGATGAGGAGGAGGGTGTAGAAGAAGGGAAAGAAGATTTGTTGGAGAAGGGTTTGATATAATGGTTGTCATTGCCATTATAGCAAGTCCATTAAAAAAAAAAACCTTCCTCTAGGGGAGTAATTATGATAGTCGACAGGCTGTCATTATTAGGATATTTGGTGCTGCAAATCACCATTTATAAGATTTGTTTAAAAATTAAAAGAGAAATACTATTTACAGAGAATATGTGTACAAAATACGTATAAGTTTTCATATATGTGTGGGTCTCATTTATCATTTTGTATATAGATTTTCTATACATATATTTTTTTTTTGAACGGCGAAGCAAATGATCTTTATTGATGAAACATACAACGTATGACAAAATACATTAATAAAGAGGAGCTTGAAGCTAACACAAGCTTTTCTATACATATAACATTGGTGAAATTGAGATTGTGTTATGATACCCAATAAAGAAAAGAAATGAGTTAATGTCGATATCTTCACACATATGTAAATTAATTAAAACACATAATATGAATGTACAGACTTGTCACCAAGCTATTATACAATTGATAAATCTCTCACCAATAAAAAAATATCTACTGAATTTAATATTTTATACCTTTTTAGGTTGAGCTTTTCAAGAATTTTCTCTTTTGGTATTTGGTATTTCATTCCTTGATTAATATCAAATAGAAAATGGTGTTAAATTAATTAACTTGCTATATGTTCAACTATAATGAGAATCAAGTCAATTTTGGATCCATTGACTTAGATTTCCGCTACTCATCATACAAATAAAAATATTATATACAAAAAATTATAAAATGATGTGAATAAGAAGGTAGGTTTATTTTAAAAAGTTTTTAAGACATT